CATAGGAAGCAAGTTGTCCGGTCTGCAAGCTGACAATAAAGGGGACAGGGCCCAAAGGTTGTGAAGACCTGTACCTTAGTTCCCAGGTAGAGCCCAGGGAAGTAGCTTTGAGGGACATAGACAAGCTGAACCTCTTAGTGAGCTTGCCACATTCCAGACATGTGCAGGCTTTGGGACCCAGAGAACAGACAGTTCAGTGAAAAACCTGTGTGAACAGAAAGGTAGGGGAGAAGGTTGATCTGTGTAAGACTGGTCCTCATGAATAATTCTGGAGGAAAGATGACTGCAGATAGAAAAAACATTCATGACTAAGGGATAAAAGCAATTTAAAGGTAAGAAAACACTGTGGGAAATGCCTGTGTTTGTGAGGAAGGTTCATGCTTAGAACATTAACCTAAAAAGCACTGCTAAGTTACTTGCCCAGTAGTGTTTATCCATGCAGGTTTAAAATACTCCATTTTTATACTACTCAGCTATCAAAAAAGATGGACTCTTGCCATTGTGACAATACGAATGAAACTAAATGGGATTATGTTCAATGAAATAAATCAGAAGGAGAAAGACAAATATCAGATGATTTCACTTATGTGGAATATAGAGAAAACAGTGAAACAATGAACCGTAACAACAAAACCACAAAGGAACTGACAAAACTAAACAAAAATAAACCCTGAAAATATGACTGCAGAATTGAGAATAGGAACAAAGGTGAAAAGGGACACAATGATTTGTGGTGAAGGACCATGGGTGCTTGGAAGGGTAAGGGTGTAGAGGTAGTTTTCAGGAGATGGGGTATAATCCTATCCCTGTAAATCATGTTCAGTGTTGTAAACCAATGTAACCTCCATGAAAGAATAAACAAATAAATAATTCCATTTTCTTCCTCATGGAACTATCTACAATATTTCTGTTTTTCTGCTGACTAAAATATTCCAGTAGAGAATGGTTAATAGTGAGAAGGCAGAGAGAATGAGCACAGTCAGGCTATCACATTTAGGATTCCTTTGTATTTTTCTGACTTCAGTCCAACTCGACATCCACTATGCTTCCAGATTAATTTCTCCCATACTGAAGCAAATCTCATTTTTCCTTCTCTGGGGTTCAGGTTTACGAGCCTCTCTCACTTGGCTTCATGTCTTGAAGCGAAGTCACCATGGACACTATTCCTGTCTCACACAGATAGGATATTCAGCCAACTTCTTGAGATTTAAACATATATAATATTAAACAGCTAACACCATGATCTCACATACCCTTAGTAACTGGTGTAGCTGTTGAACCATTGTGACAATAACTTAGGCGTTCTCCATCCTATAATAGGCTGGGAGGAAGAAAGAAAAACATCAAAAAAGAAAAGAAAAAGGAATATGAAATTGATGATGAACAAGAAAAATGTGCTGAGCATTAGCTGTTGAGCGGTGATGAAGATTGTGAAGGGCTAGCAGGAGCCATCAAAAACATCTTGTACGTCCTAGTGGTATGGAGCTTCCCTTTTACCCCATGTACAGGCCCTGGTTTGTTGTTGAGATAGTCACATAGAACTGGAAGCCATGCCCAAGCACAAAGGTGACATTGGTCCTTCTTCCCTGTCTACATAATCTGTTAGTTCATCAGAGATAGAAATGAACAGGCATGCATGTTTTGATAAGACCAGTAAGAATCCAATGTTGTTGATTGTAGAAACTAAATAGGTGAGGTGAACTGCTGTTTTTTCCCCCAGAAGTGGCATCTGTTGTGCAAGCCTGCGTGACTGGTCATGGGTTTGTCTTTCTTGTCTCCAATTTGATCACATCTGACTCTCTGAAGCTGAGTCTGTGCCTTTAATAGCAGATTCACCTGTGCACGAGTGAGTGTTACGGTCAAGAGCACTCGATTTATTCTGACATACGGAGGACAGAAGGGGTGTAGGATGGAAGAGGTCTGGTTGGACATGGGGGGTGGCATGTGGCAAAATTGGGGAGGCTTAAAAGGCCCCAAAGAGGAGGAAAACTTCATGAGAATGGGTAGCTTCAAGTTGGATGTGGAATAACCAAAGAGAAAAGGGGTAAAGGGAGGACTCAGATCTTCAAGGCACCACCGTCCCAATCTATCAGCATCAGGGATTTTCAAAATCTGCTCTGTTTCTCACATTTGCTTCAACTACATGTGTTTGTTTCTCTTTCTAAATACATGTATATATTTTAACTTCCTCTTTAGGTTCCCTTAACCTTCTTCCTCTCTTTTAATCTTAGAAACTTCATTTATTAGTGTCTCCCAAGTTCTATAAGTACTAGCTGTACTTTGTTGAAGTATCTGTTACATGTCTAATATGTTTTTGTCATTCTGACTTCCCTTGCTCTTCCTAAATCCCTCAAATGTCTTCCATTTTGCTATAAATAGTAGTATTTTTGTGAATAGTATTCTCAGAGTGGGTTTGCCACTGCTTGATTTACTCTTCTACTGAGAGATATTTAGGTTGTTTCTATGTCCTAGCTATTGTAGATAGCTGGTTCTGGTCCATGTTCTTTGGATAGAAGACAATGAATAAGTTTGCTGGGCCAGGCATTCTTTCCATTTTTGTTTTTTAAAGTAAGTTCAGTTTTCCATAAAGCATGCTCTAGCTTACAGCCCCACAAATCATCTAATAGGGTTAATCCTCCCCCACTTACTCTCCATTGCTTGTTTTTGTGGGACTTCTTAATATGCACTTCTCTTGTGGGTGTGAGATGCTATCTCATTGTGGTTTAACCTGCATCTCTCTCATTAGAATGGCTGTCTATTTCCACTGTCTATTGCCCTTCTGGCTATTTTCTTCAGTGGATTGTTCAGATCTACTACCCATTTACTAACTGGGTTGCTTGTTTTTCTGTGGCTGAATGATATACATTATTGATATTAATACCTTATCGATTATGTAACGTGTAAACATTTTTTGGGTGGGTTTTTTTTTTAGGATTTTTAAAAATCTACTTATATTTTACTTTGCTGTGAAAAACTTTTATTTTTGTGGTAATGCCAAATTGTTTGTTCTTTCTTTTGTTTCCCTTGCTGAAGAGGTCAAGTCTGCAAAGACATCTTTATCATTGATGTCACGGCACATACCACTGCTGTTTTCTTCTGCATGTCTTATTGTTGCAGGTCTTTATCTCTAAATAAATCTTAAATCTGTTTGGAATTTATGTTTTTGCATGGGGATAGGGTCATCAGCTTCATTCTTTGAAACATAGCCTACCAATTACTCATTTTGTAACTGATGGGTCCACATATGGTTTCTTTGAAAGAGGTAGTCCACTGTGGAGTTTTTAAAAAATCTGTCCTAGATAATGGCAAGCATACAAATCTTTTGAGAATTATCTTGGCAATCTTCCTTGTTACTTTGAGCATCTTCTCGAAGAGGACTCAATCTCCAAAACGAAATGAGGCAGCGAAGGCAACACTGAACTTAGATCTGTATGACCTGAGTTTGTGCTTTATTGTCTGAGTAATTATGGGTAAGTCGTTCATTTGCTTTTCTCAATACTCTTTTCCTAATCTCAAACATAGAGGAGTTTATACAAAAAGGAAAGCAAAATGTATTGTGTGAAAGAACTTGGTGGTAAAAGCTCATTATCTTTTGATTGAATGGTGTTTGGTTGCCATAGAGAAGATCATGAGTGTTGGAATCCAGGCATGTATGCTGATTACCCCTCTTCCTTTTACATTTTACAAAATCTCCTTCAGTAAAGGCGCAATGCTTAATACACTATAGTCGTCCATGGGTATTTCATGCACAGAAAAGAAACATAATTGGCTTAGCAGCTAAATGTTACCCAGAGCTTTTAAAAAGCTGATCTGGAGGAACCTCAGATTTTCACTTTATTGAGTCCCAGACTTTGGTATTGCACAGGGGCCCTCTTGCCCACCCCCTCCCTGCCCCTCCCCACAACTCTGTATGCTATTACTTGGGCTCCCCGGCTCCCAGCTTGGCCTTGCCAGTCAGTGCTCCTTACTTTCAGGACTCAGCTCAGGTATTCTTGAGACACCCCTGCTACGCTGCAAGTGTACTCACCCAAAATACAATGTGCTTCCTCCCTCCCCCACAGCTAGCCCCTCCTGTCTTCCTGTATGTTTCTTAAATAATGAGGTCACATGATTGCCTATAAACTTGGGGACCTGGGGTTGTTTAACCTGTGGTCAGCTACTGCAAGTTCATCTGCTCAGCTAAAAAGTTCCCCTTCTCAGTGCTCTAGAGTGCCTAACTGTATTGGGACAGTATTTTCACCCAATTTTCATTTTGACTTCAGGACAAAGCTATTCAAATGTGCAAACAGACATCCCACCAGAACACTGGACTGTGCTCAATACACGTTCCTCCTAGCTCCCTGGGCAGGGAGAGAACACCCACGAGGGGCAGGCACAGCTCAGCTGCTCTACCTTATGATAGCCAAGAAAATTATTCCCAACATTCTCAGCCCACTTTGCATACCTTGAGTCACTGACAGAATATGATGAAAGGGGATGGGCATAAGAGGACTTGGGGTATAAGTCAAGTATGCCAGGGCATAAAATGTCAATCAATACTTATCGATGTGACATAGGAGGGCAGGATGTACTGGGGATTGTCAGCTAGCAGGAAAGAAAAAACAAGGGAAAACGATCAAGCCTTGATGGGCGACAGTCACACCTTTCCCACAGTGCTAAGAGCATAACTGACAGAAATACAGTACAAACCTGTGAATTTCAGGTCTTCCATTGATGAATACCATAGCGGCAGTATTTCCCTTTCAGATGAATGACCTGACTCTGACAGTCTAAAAACACTTGACTTGGGTCCAGACCCAAGTCCTGACCTGTGTTGTCCAGGTTATACCATAACATCCATTTTTCTTTGAAAGGGTCAGAATTTTTGTGTATGCTGGTGTTTGTTTGAATTTAGGGAATAAGCTGTAGACAGAGGACTCTGCTCTGTTGGCAGAGAAGGGCCAACAGACACAGGCCACAACCACAGGCAGAGAGTTAGAGAAACTTGTTATTAAATTTAATTGTCTTTAAATACATACTTTCCCCCTACCCTCACCCCACACAGGGAGGAACAGAAAACCTCCACCCACTGTTTGGGGACTCCATGTACAAAGCCTGAGATGGTGAGGATGAAGTATAAAAATAATATTTACAAAGGGAAAGAAAGTATCTGTTGCTACATTAACCTTCAGATACCCCCGGCCCCAGCCCCTCTTATTTCTTTAGAGAATGCCCCTGGGCATCCATTTGCATGTCCATCCTTCCTCGAAAGGAGAATCGAACCCCATGGAATAGGAAGCTCTGGAGTTTACCGAGGAAGAGGATGAATGGATGAATAGCACCTCAAACTCTGGCAGGGAGGACGGGTTTGCCCTCTACCACCCCGGTCAGCAGGCCGCTGGCCAGTCTTTGTTTCCTTAGGTCCCTGTAAACACTGGCTTCCCTTTTGGATGTCCCCATACTTCCCAGTTCCCCAGAGAACCTCTCTCACTTCCACTGGCAGCACCAGGTTCTTCCCTTTTTAACATTCCCGTGGATGAAGTGGGGAGGAGAGGAAAAGCCGAGAGACCGTATCATCCCTTCCTCTACATCAGGGTAGCTTATCCTCCTAAGGGAATCCCTCCATGGGTGTACCCCAAGTTCTTGATCAGGTTGGGGTGACTCTCCTTTCTTAGAGCAGGGGCAAGGCAAGTGGACAGTCCAGTACCAGGTACAGTGTGGGCTTGATGGCTGAGTCACAGGGAAGGCAGCCTCAAGAGGCAGGAAAGTGGGGAGAACCTGGTCTCACCCTGGAGGTGGGAGGCCAGCCCTGAACTGCCTCCCTGCTGGTGAGCATGACCATCACTCCCCAACAGTCTGGTTCACTGTAGCTGTGCAGAGGGACCAGGCAGACACCAGAACTTCTCCAGGCTTGCGTGTGGCCGCACTCACACCAGTTCATCCAAGAGGATTCCGATGCTCTGGGTGGCCTCCGAGGGGCCAGCAATGGGCTTGTTACACATTGGGCACACACAGCGCACTTCCAGCCACTTCACCAGACACCTGAGGGCAGAAGGAGACTGATTTTTCACTAAGAAGAGACTCCAAACTGCTCTACTTATCTTTACTCATGGGGCCCAGCTGCCTGTCAGAGCAAAAACATCTCTATCCTTGGCCCAATATACCCATCCAAATTGCCTGGTGTATGGAGACGATTTAAAGAGCAGGGGCTGGGTGGAAGGTGCAGGGACTAGAGGTTTTGGAAGATGCTCCCTGCTTATTTCTTCCAAAAGGCACCCTGGACACGCATCCCCACCACGAACACTTACTTCCGGTGGAAGGCATGCTGGCATGGCAGCACGCCTAACTCGTCCTTGCCCTTGAAGTCTTCCAGACAGACTGCACAGGTCTGCTGTGGAAAGGAACGGGGCAGCGTGAGAAGGGAGCAGGGAAGAATCTCATTCCCATCCATGCAGATGGAGTTCTTCTAGTCTTCTCATGAGCCAGAGAAGTTCTAGTCATAAGCATAAAAGTGCCCTGGCAGTTCTGTTGCCATTAACCACATGTGACTGTTTAACCAAAATAAGACAAAATGTTATTTCCTCTGCTGGATTCAGTGTGCTTCAAGTGCTCCACAGCCACATGTGGTTAGTGGCTCTCACATGCTCAGCGCAGATAACAGAACCATCACAGGAGTGTCTTTTGGACGCTACTATTCTCGTGGACTGGCTTTCAATCCTTTCCAGTCAGCGCATCTGGCAAGGGTTAAGGATGGGGGATAGTGGGTGTGGCCATCTACATTCTTGTCCCTGCTTCCTACCAGCTAGCTCCTTTGATTTCAGCTGACTTGACCTTTAGGTCAGGGATTAGGAAACATGTGAACTTGCTGAGATGTAATAGCGGACATCAAAAATAGGGATGCAGGCCCTCCCTGGTGGCGCAGCAGATTAAAACACATCACTAAGAAGCTAGAGCCACTTCAGCATGAGTTTGATGCCTACCCACCCCGGAGGTGACCCACATGGTCCGGTAGACCTCTCCTGACCTGCCCGCTGCTCCCCTCAGCCGTGTACTTCCTCAGTTGGCCTGTTCTGCTCCCCACTCTGTCTCTGGTGAATCCTCTCACAGCCCCTGCACTTCTGGCCTGTACCCCAATTCTGTGTGCATAAATAAGTAAATCTTAAAAAAAAAAAACAAAAAAAAAAAACAAGGATGCAATGAGGCTTTGTCTGCAGCTGCCTTATGTCTGTGATAGTGGTGATTCCATTCCTTTCCTCTCACTCCTGGACAACCACACACATACTCTGCATACAGGCGTGTGGGCATGGAAGGAGGCTTTGGGAAGTGAGTTAGGTGGGCTCAAAGGCACAGATGAGAAGGGAACAGGCTTATTCCTCAGAGTCAGGGAGGGGAGAGGAGTGGAGGAGCAACAGGGAGGGAGGTACCACAGGAGCGATGCTCAGGCAGATGCAGGCTCATGCAGGACATGGCTCTGCACATGCAGAAAGCTAAAAGCTGGACTGTATCTATGGCATCAAGTAGGATGACCATCCTTCCCTCAAGATTATGTAGCATCTGTCTTTCTGGGGCCACCAGCCCCTGCAGACTCAAACCCTTATGTGAGTGAGCCCATTATAGAGTTTTCTTCTTGGCTCCAGATATGAGTTCCACATACTGATCACCTGCTGGATGGCCCTCTCCTTGGCCCAAGAAGACATGAAGGCGAACACTTAAAAGGTCCCTAAGAGGGTCCAGGCTGAGCGCCAGTGAGGATGCTCTGGGCTTCACCCACTGGGTAAAGTCATGCTGCTCCCTCATGCTACTCCAGTATACTCACCCCATATAATTGTAGCTTCTTGGTGTCGCCTTTAAGCACCACCTAGGAAGAAATGGGAAGGCATAGCATCAGAAGAAACCAAGTCCAGGGACCAGAGTATCAATCCTCAAAGGAACTCCCCAGTCCTTCACAGTGGCACCCCCTTCCCTGTGACTTCCTATGCAGGACTGAGCTTTGGGATCTGACTGGGCTCTAAAGACAGAAAACAACATGAGGCTCAGAAAAGGGCAAGCAGGTAAGGCCCAGGCTTATGCTTGCTCTCCTCCCCTCTCCAGCAGGACAAACAGTGGAGGAGGGGTCTCAGGGAACGGTATGCACATTACCTCCTTATATCCATATCGTTCACTCTGTGCCTGGTTCCGGAGTTTGCTGGGGGAGAAAGCAGGAGGGAAAGGTTACCGGGGTTTGCATGAGCCATTCAAAATAGGGAGGGTGAGCTGGCTGGCTGCTTGGGCATCTTTTTTTTTTTTTTTAAAGATTTTATTTATTTATGCATACAAGAACTGGGGTACAGGCCAGAAGTGGGGTGTGTGTGTGTGTGTGTGAGAGAGAGAGACAGAGTGGAAAACAGAATAGGCAGACTGACCAAAAAACACTGCTGAGGGAAGGGGGAGATAGAAGAGAGGTCTGCTGTGCCATGTCGTCACCTCACTGGCCAGGAATCGAACTCGTGCCTCAGTGGCTGCTGATAGCTTCATAGTGCTGTGCTTTAACCCTCTGTGCCACCAGGGAGGCCCCATGCTTGGGCATTCTTCTGGGATGGGGAGGGATACTCCCCACTGGAGTGTCTACCCCACAGACATCTTGGGGGTTTGGTTTGGACCAATCAGGTCATAGAGAATGGATGAAGGACTCAGCTTCTTACTCAGACTCTATTACTTTGAAACTTACTGTGAGGTCACAGAGATTGGAGTATTCTCACAGTATACTCTGAATAGCTCTCCCTGCTATCTCCCTAAGGTCAGTCACTTCCTTCAGACTCTGCAAATACATAGATCAGCAATCTTCCTACTGAGTGCAGAGAAGTAAGATGTCGTTTAAAAGGTATTTCCATTAAGCCAGAGTAGCAGGATAAATAAATCTCTGTTGACCATGGGGAATTTTCCATCTCAGGAACACAAGTATTCTGGAACCAAAGCACACTCTTCCCTTCCCAACGCCAGGCAAATACAAACTGCTCCTTTTTGTTCCTTCTTTTTCTCTCAAGCTAGTGGCCTATATACAGCCAAAGTCTCAATGGTCAAAACACAGAGTGCTGTTACTTATGGCAATAGCGCACTGGTTATTGAGGACTTGTTATGTGTTTCAATCCCTAATCACTCATCTATGTTAGTGATCCCCAACATTAAAAGGAAGATATTTTGTTGTTGTTGTTAAGGAAAATGAAGCTCAAAGAAGTAAAAAAAAAAAAAACTTGCCTAATTTCATAGGTGAACAGTAGCTGAGCCTGGGGTTAGTCAAAGTCTATGTGAATATAGAGCCCAAACTCTTAACACACAATGTGGTCTACTAGGTGAGATGCACCATAATTCTGAGAACATGATTTGGTCTTGGAAAGCTGCCTTCCAATCACCAAGTCTGTAACTCTCAAATGACTTACTATGTGAATGACTGGAGACACACACTCGCACACACACACACACGATTTGGCATTTTATTGTCAGTGAGGGGAAATAGAGTTTCAGGCAGCTCTATCGCTTCCTTTACATGGGAATCAGACGTTTCCTCACTGATTATCTCTCTCTCTAGGCCTAGGTTATTTCTCTTCCCTCTCCTGCTGATCATTTCTGCCTGAGGTCTGGAACACCACTAAAAGTAGGAGCAGCCAACTATTGTCTGAACACCAAATCTAGTTTACCACTTGACCAGGCCTATAAGCCAAGGATGACTTTTTTCTTTAAGTGGTTGAAAGTAGAAATCAAAAGAATATTTCATGTTAAAATTATCAGAAACTCAAATACCAGCATCCATATAACTTTGTTGGAACACAGTCATGCTTACAATTCACACACTGCCTGTGGCTGTGTTTGCAGAGTAGGATAGTTGAGATAGACAGCATATATCCCGCCAAGCCTAAAATACCTGACCTGAGTTAGAAGCAGAGAATCTCAAGTCATGAATCTCAATCAAATGGGGTGAGATAGGTGTTCCACAGGCGTTACAGAGAAACTCAAACTGCTTGCAAATTGGGAGAGGCAGAAGCTGGGGGCAGAGCCACATGCCAAGCACAATTAGGAAGCAGAAAAGATTAGGCTGCCTATCACCTGGCCATCCCTACCAGGAAGTCAGGGCCATGGGCAGGCTGTGTGTGCCTGGAGCCTTAGGAACTCCAACCAGCTAGATTCCTGCCATGAAGCTGAGGCCCGGGACGGTACATCCACTGCCCTCCCTCTTCCCTGGTAGAGGGTTTCTAGTCCTTGGTTGGTGGGTTGGGGGGCTACAAGGCTAACTCAGGACTCTCTGTTCCATCCTTAGCTTTGCATGTAGCTCCTTTGCCCAGAAACGATGCTCACATATATGTGTGTGTACACATATGTAAAACATATGTATGTGTGTATGTATGTATTATACATGCATGCATTTCTGTCCCAGGGGAAGATATATCATAAGCTTAAATGAACAGCTGTTACCTGACTGACAACAAGTTTTATGCTAGGAAGGAAGTGTTCTCACTGCCAGGGCACTCACGGCTGCCTTCTGAGGAGATACTGTTGCTGCTACCAGACCAACACAGTAAATAAGGAAGTGGTAAGAGTCTGCTTTTTATTTCTGGGAGAGCAAGGGAACGCACACATTTTTTTGAGCCTCACTCCCCTCACCTGCACTGTGCCTGTGGGTATGCAGTGTGTTCTGTGTCTTCCAGTTTGCTGCATTCTAGGATGTCAGGATACCCTCCTTTGCCTCCCTCGAGCCTTTTGCGCCTGACTCCCTTGAAGGGTCTTACCCAAGGATCCTCCGGAAGTTGGCCCTGAGCCCAGAACTAGCAAAACAGTGAAGGGCCTTAGAGCTGCACGCTGTTTTCCAGATCAGGGAGGTATAGATGGTGATGAAATGGGGCCCAAAAGGTTGCAAGGGAAACAAAGCAGAAGGCAAAACCCTGAACCATCCCAGCAGGAGAGGTAACGCCACCTTCTTTGGACAGGTGGCCTTCTCAGCTGTTGGATGAGCAAAGGAACTAAAAATATCCTGATTTTAATAAGATCATTTCTAGCCGCTGCCAGCAGGCTCTCCCTTGCTTTTCTCTTCTGGAACAAACAATGCAGCCCGGTCTTGAAAATAATTATTCCTTTCCTGCCTATTTATGCTTCACTGGCCCCTCCATCCTGTGTAGGGCAGAGGTCAGCTCTTGTGAAGCAGGGGAGGAGGTGTGAGGGGGAGCGGAGGCTGGCCTTGGCGGATGAGCTCACCATGTAGGGAACGGCAGTCATGGGCTTATTTTGGCTGAAGAGGAAACCAAGAAGCAGGGAGAGGAAGTGGCCTCTATGCTTGTGTGTCTTTCTATATATAGAAAGACACAGACTGCCCCACTGGCAAGCCTCTGGAACCATGAAACTCCAGGGTCAAATGCCTCTAGGCAGCCTGCACAACAGAGGACAGGGTGATGGAGCCCAGATTACTGCAGGAGGGACAGGTGGTGCCCAGAGCGGCACAGTGGGGAAAGCTTTTGGTTTCATGTGGTTACTGCCCTGTGTGTTCTCCAGCCAAAGGAAAATAAGTCAGCTGCACACAGATCCCGAACCTGCCTTTCAGGGCCCCACTCACTAGCTGGAAAGAGGGGTCACACGTGCTACAGGTTCCCTCCACTTCCCCCCAAGGAATGAGACTCACAGAAAAATCTGTAATAAGAGAAATGAAAATTGCAAAAATTAATAAAGACACATAGGAACATGTGGAATCTGAAAGACTAGCTAATCATCACCAGACTATCCCACCGCCCTCTCTTTGATGCCTGACCTTAGGCAAAGAGCTTTAACTAAACCTGAGTTTCTTCATTAAGTGGGATTAGCCCACCTAAACAGGAATGATGTCCTTAGAATTGAGTTAAACCACGCATGGCACACAGAAAGCACTTGCTAAACACCCAATGTCATGCCTGTTAGTGGCAGAATTAAGAAATGAATGCTGGTCACCCACTTATTGCCCAGAGTGATTTTCTGTGTTTTCTTCCTTTGACCACATTTTCATAGTGACACGAGTGTTCACTGGTGTGCATGTGAAGGAACCAAATATAGTTGGGTTTTACAGACGCCTCCCAGCATCATAAATAAATCTTTGGTATTTAGTATGGCTCCATCTTTAGTCTCTGGGGAACTGCATAAATTGCTTGGTATGGGAAATGGGGGTGGGTTGTGGCCAGGCAGTCTTTGAGGGAAAAAAACCCCAGACTTACGGAATGGGGAAGGGGTGGAGAGACACCCAAAATCTATCCTCATCCCCATTAAATCATTACACAGCAATATTTAGATACTCAGTTGTCCAAGAGGGGAGATAATCCACCCTCTCCACTGCGTAGACTTTTAAGTGGAAAATTCCATTCCTAGGGGCTTTTAAAGTTCTGAGAAAGAAGAGGCCCAAGGTACCAACCAACTGCACCAGTGAAGAGCAGAGCCTGGGGCACTTCCCTTCATTGAGGGAGCTCCTCTGGCTTTGGAATGTGGACAAGCCTCTGCTGTCTCCCTAACCTCCTTCCAGGCAAAGCACTCAAATATATGCACACATTTCAGCAGGGGGCCAGGACTCCCTTCCTTCATCTTCATTTAATCTTCTTAGATGTGTTTATCAGATAGCAGTTTAGAACCCAGTTGATACCTATCCAGGCAGGTGGTGATGTGTGCATTTTGGGGGTAGGGAGGGCTGGAAACTGGTTATCACAATGGCCAGAAGGACACCAGTATGTCCCAGGGGTCAGGGATACGCTTTATTACCTAATGTACAGGATAGCTGTGTACAGAGAGGAATAATTAATGCCAACAACACACCCATGTCAGAAACTCTAACTTCATTTCCACTCTAAATACCTGTCATGCCCAAAACTTTTTGTAGAAAATAGTCACCAGTTTCCATTTAATAGGAAGTAAGGAAACAGTCCCTGGAGCTTGGCCAGCCTTTTGAAACTCAAGTCCTTCCCTGGGTCCTGAACACAATTAAGAATAAGCAACGTTTTCAGTCTTAACACTCTCAAAATTCAAGAGCTTACAAGGCAAAATAAACTAGTGGCTCTCCAGATAGCAGCTTGTTAATATTAGCATCTGGAGGGTTGACAACAGGATTTCCCAGGGGAGCAGAAGAACATGCCATTGACATAACTGATGCCCACTTAACCCTGGTCACCAAGAGGGTGTGAGTGGGAAGCAGAGACAGAGAAGAAACCACCAGTGATATGACTTGGTCAGATAGTAATTCTAGGCAACCTTAGAGTCGCTGGCCAGCAAGCATCTGGAACACAGCCCAACTCATGGTGACCTTATATGCTCTGGGACAACCCGATAGGCTGATATAAAAAGAAACACTAGGCCTCAGGGGCCTGGAAAGGGCAGGCTAAGCCCTGTCCTGAAAGTAGGGCCCCAGCAGGAGGCAAGGGAGTCTGGCTCTGCTCGCCCTACCCCTGGCCTCCTCTTCTCTGACCCTGTCCCACAGCAGCCCGGGTGCCACTCACCTGATGAAATAGCAACAGAAGATGAGGCTGAGCATGAAGACAAAGATGCCTGTGCCAAAGATGACCATGTAGATGTTGAGGGGGAGGTCCTGGAAACTGATGGGTGGCATCGAACAGGACTTATTGGTACTGACCAGTCCCAGGCCGCAGAAACACCCTGCCAAGAAAGTGGGGGGGGGGTGAGGGGGGTGGGAGAAATAATGTTTTAGTTGGAAACTAACCAGCAAACTCATGCTACTCTGTGGTGGCAGGGCTGGAGAGAGAGAGATGGCAGACTTCAGGCTCCTAACCTCTGATTTCATATCAGAGGGGCTTAGATGTATACTGGAGCTTTAACACTTACTAGCTGTGTAATCTTGGGTAAACTAAGTTAGCAAATCTATGAACTGGGACAGTGCATATAGCACTTAAAACAGGGTCCTGTCCAGGGGAATCAAGGAATCAGGCAATGGGCAGAAAATGGAAAAATGCATTCTGTCAGGCAGAAGCCCAAATAGTGCATCAGTAAAATGAAAAACCATGGGTGGGAAAAGTTTTATTTGGGTTCCAACTCTGCCTTCTCTCTAGATATGTGACCTTTCAGAAGTCTCTAAGCTTCAGTTTGTCATGTAAAAATAATGCAAGGCCCCAAAATAATGGTATACAAAATATGCTTTGTTAATCATGAAGTGCAAATGCAAAGGTCATTTGTCATTATTAAGCCACCTGCTCCAGGACCAGAATAGAAATTGTTCACTCAAAGGCTGGCTGGTATGCCAGAAAGTAGGGTGGGGGGACAGTTGTGGGGGAGTTTGCAGCTTCTGCTACTGACTGCCTTTCCCCTTTCCTGTTCAAAGCCTGAGTATGGTCCCACCATGGCAGTAGGCAAGCCCCAACCAAGCTTGTTAGAAATGCAGACTCTCAGGCCCACCCCAGAGGAAGTGAATCAGAACCAACATTTAAACCAAGTCCCCAGGAGATCCTTCTGCCTATTCAGCATAAGAGAGCACTGACTAGCCATTAACTGGTTCTCCCCTTGCTATATGACTAAGGCAGAGGGACATCACGGCAATCCTTTCCCATGGTTGAGATGAGTATGTGACTGGGTTCTGGCCACAGAAACAAGGAGTTGGTCTGCTGGAAAAGGAAAAATTACCTGGAGTGGTACAGTCAAGTTGCAGTTGGAAGAACAGTCTGATTTAAAACCAGGTTAAAGTACAACACTATCCACAGCCACTGCAGCTGAGTTTGATCCCTGCAGCTGAGTGCTCCCCACTCTGTCTCTGGTCAATCATCTTACTCCCCAACCTCTGGCCTAACCCCAGCTCTTTATGCATAAATAAATAAATCTTTAAAAAAGATAAACAATGAGGGCTAGAGGAGGCAGGAAGGACAAAGAGGAAAGAATCCTCAGGTCAGCTGAGTCACTGGGTACCAATCCTAACACCACTCTGCTATCTTGGACTACTGGTCCTGAGTTCAGTTTCTGTACCGTTTAACTGTAAGACATGCTAGGCTATAAATAGTAACCACTTGGTTGGATGTTTTTTCCTGTTTGTGGGTAAAAACCTTAATGTTAATGGATCCAAAAAGTAAGCACAAACCACTTGGATTTCAGTAAGCAGTGAGGCAAGAAAACTGAAACCTATCCCATACCTGCTTCATCCCTGGTACATGCTCATGCTATCAGCTTAATTGTTGTAACTTCACAATACAAAATGACTTTCCCATCCATGGGAAGCAAGACTAGTCATTGACTAGTCAAGACTTTAGCTGTCTACAAACAGATAAGGCCCCACTCCATACGCTTCTGTACTCAGAGCTCCAACACACGTTAGGCCCTTTCCTGACATCTTGATGACAGCCAGAGCCCGTCACATGCTTCAGAATTCTACACGGTTGTCCCCAACACCACCACACTTCAGCAGAAGACTGGCTTGAAAGACAGGAAATCATCTTTCACATTGGACCTATCATTTCTCTTCATTCTTTACATCAGTCTAGTGATCAAATCATGAGTCCCCCTCCCTTCAAGCCTTTCAGATTTTGTGTCCAATTCTATTGCCAAGTCCCACCCCAAAACAGATTTTGTGTCCAATTTTGTTCCAAGTCCTACTCCAGACACCTAATTGATGTCTGGTCCCTCCCCTAATTTAGCCCACATGTCTGACATAGCTTCCCACTTGGTTTTTCATCCTGCATTTTCCAAACTCATGACTGGCTTCAAGTCCTCCCACATATGTATGAGCCGGGCCCCCTCTCAACTACCCCTTCAGTGTCTTGCCACATCACACCATGTGCCAGTGCACATGGTGCACTATTTTTTGTTCCACCTTGTCCTCAGCTGCTTCCTTGCTTTTGTTCATGTCGCTTCCCCTATCTGAGACATCCCCTCCTCCACCCTTCCCCCTCCAATGCACCAAGCTTGATCCTTGTGCAGTCCAGCCTCCCTCCCCTAGCACCACAACCCCCTCCCCAACCCCCCCAAGGCAATAGTACTCACAGTCCAAATCACAGGGTCTGAGCTGTTCACACTAATAGCCTTATATTCACAATTGTCCCTAGTATCAACTGTGCATTGAAGTATTGTTCATATGTACAGGTCCCATGATAGACAGTGAAGATAAAAACAGCTACATAAGAATGACGAGATGATTTTATCTTTTGGGGAAGAAGAGAGACAAAGGTTTACCATACGAAGTGAGGCTCCCTGGTCCCTGGTCCCTGGTTCTGGTGTGACGAGCTTGACACACCCTGAAAGTTTCTGGGGCTACAAACTGTGACTTAACAGTATATTTTCCCGTCCCAGTCTCGTGCTTGGCTTGTTCTCAATAAACTAATGAAAAGGTAAATAAATCCCAGTTTTCATAAACAACCTGGTATCTTTGGCAAAAACTCTTACTTCTAAGTAAGGAGACTGACATTTGGGAAAATTGCCCAGAAACTGCCCTCAACTAATGGATGACCAGTTAAGCAACAAGTATTGTTGAGGTTCTGATTTATGCACCGACTTGGCATTGTCTGGAAACAAAAGCAAAAGTAGTTTTTGTGCTAAAAGATTTGCTGATCAAGATGAAAAAAATCAAGTAATTGCAGACTAAACTTTGCTGTGTCCAAAAGGAAAGTCCTTGCTTCTAGGTTCAGCAGGGGTTAGAAGGAAAGTCATTTTCACCACCCCACTGGCCTCTATTCAAATATTTGCTCTCTGTGGGCCAAAGGAGATCAATTTCTCATGAAGTCGTGGACTTTCAATCTGCCCTGTAAAAGAGATCTAAGGAATCTCCTTGCAGGGAACTATGTTCTTAATACTAAGGAAACCTGCCTCCTCTGTGGGGCATCGACCCACCCTGCCTCAGCATATTTGATGCCATCACAGAGTCTAACCCCTTTGCTTGGCTCTACCAAGCACCTTTGTGAGCTGAATCCTGGTATCTTTAGAGTGCCAAACAACCTCATGTGGTTTCCTGGAAACTTGCCAAGCATTGGCTGCAGCAAAAGGTGTGTCCAAGCATTTGGCCCCAGCGGTGACCTGGTGACCCATCAGTTATCTTGATCATCTTGTCTGATAGCTGCTTGCCTTGGGCCTCCAGGACCCAGTCAGTGAGCATGGGGGCATTTATATGATTAAAAAAAAAAAGTGAGTGAGAAGAGCTTCAGAGCCAGAAGAGATGGTCCATTTGCAGACATTAGGATTTTTTTTTTTAAGAAGGAAAAACATAGACGGGGCTAAAAGCTGACATAAAGTAAGTAGTTTGCCCTCTGAACTTCTAAGGGCAGAACACCAACACTAGGGAAGAGGGCTGGAGGGCTACCTCTCAGAGTGAGAGGACTGCTGTGAAGAAAGGCCAGGGATAATGACAGCCTCCTTGGTTCTTCTCTTGAAGTCTCTGTTCCATTGTCTTGGCCCACTCTATGGGAGTCTTGACCTCAGAACGTCTCATCTCCCTGAACAGACAGGGAGCAGGGATGACGTCAAGAGGAGACTGGCGGAGAAAGACCAGTGGGTCTGGGAAATGCTTCTCCTTCCAGCCACCGGGAATCTTTCCCAGATGCTGTGATGCACTGTTCTCCTCAACCCTCTTCCTCCGCCCCCTATCTGGCAATGCCCGCCTATCACACACAGCTTGGTTCATTTTCAGGAAATTAGATCCTACTAGCAAAAGGAAGAGGGGGATGGGGGACATATACACATGCTGCCCAAACCCTGCCTTAAAACAAAAGCCTCTTGGAATAATTAATCCAAGATCTGGCAAGAGTCTGCTCTCAGGAATGGATCTTTCCCCCCTCCTACTAGCCAGCCAGCCATACTCAGAGATAAGGCCAGCAGCTCTCCGGTCTCCTCCAAAGCCCCGCCTTTCTCTACAAACTCCAAGTGTTAGAAAAAGACAGTCAAGACACTCGGGCCATAGGAGGGTATAGTACCTAAGGATCTGAACTGACCTACTCTTCAGAACTACCCTCTTTTACGGTGGTTTGGGTGAGGGTTTCCACCCAAGCCCTGGATCACGTGAACCGCTGGGAAAACAAAACAACCTCAGGTGAGATGGCTATAACATCGTCCACAGCAGGAAGCCGGTAGGGAGTAGGAGAGGTGATGGGGTCCGGAGGTGCAGCCACCACCGAGGCTCACGAGCTAGTGCCTCAGCCAAGCCTTGGCGCCAGAAGACACCGCTCCCGCCAGGTTCGCTCAGCACCCAACGGTATCCAGGCGCCGAGATATCTGCAAGGCTTTATTAATCCAATACCGCCACGCTTTTATCTTCCTCAGGCACAAAGCGCCCAAGCAGCCGCTGGGAATCCCACAGAGACAGAGGCGACCGCCCCCGCGTCCCGTCCCGTCCCGCACGCCGCCGTGTATACATATTTAAAATAGCCTGCAAAGTTTCGGGCCGGGAACTTGAGCTCCCTCTAGGAGATCCTAGCCCGTGCGCGGATTTAATTCTCCGACAACCACAACAAAGGACAGAGTTCGAGCGCACAAAGGCAAGGGAAGGGGGTAGGAGAGCGACGCCGCCACACAAAGACAGCGAACCCCTCGACTCTCACGCCCCCCGCCCGCCAGGGGTTCAGACACCCTTCCTGGCCCTCAACTTAAGTCTGGATTTTTTTTCCCCCCCTTCAAATTCCGCGCTCAGCAGAGCAGAGTTGGGCGTCTGGACAATTTCTGGACCATCCGATTTCATGAGAAACTTGGCTCAAGAGGGAGGAAGAGCCCTCGGTGTGATCTTTAGCCTTGTGCCCCCTCCACTTCTCTGGCCAATCCAGCGTCCGCTCGTCCCGTCCTCTCGCCCGGCACTCACCGTTACACCACTGGAAAGGGTGCATCAATGAATTCTTGGCTGGCTTCCTCGGGCGAACGAACGCAGGCGGCGGATAAGGCGGGCGAGGTGGGTGCAGCCGGCGGGTCTGCTGGGGAAGCCGGTGCAGTCCGCCGCAGCCGCCTTGCTCCAGAAGTCGAACTTCCTCCGGGGTGGGGGGCTTCAGCGAGACCGGTTTTAGAGCAACAAAGAGAAAAGCGGAGAAAACAAGCAGACAAACAGAAAGTGTCCTGTATCAAAGCACCACGGAAGAAATGTAGGAAGGGTCTCCGGGCTAAGGAGGATGTGGGGCCACAGAAAGGGGCGGGGGGGGGGCAGAGGTTCTTGGCTCGGAGAGGAGGGAATTCCTTAAGTGGAGGAGCGACTCAGGTCCGGGGTGCCGAGGTGAGCGGCCGGGAACTAGGAAACTGACACCGGCTGTGCACACCCCCTCCCGTTTTCTGCCCTCTCGGGAAACCCCGCCCTCCTCCCGTCACCCGTCTCCGGCCAATTAGAAGATCCCTCCCCGGCCCCGGTATTATTTGCAGGCGGGTCCGGGGTGGGGGGCGGTGATTCTTGGCACTGTGGGCTCTGCCCACCTCACCTTCCCAATCTTGAGGAAACTTCTGTGTAAAGAAGCCTGCTGCGCAGTGCGCAGAACGGAGTCGGCGGAGTGCCAACTACCTCCGTCCCGGACCCCAAGGAAAACAAATAATTAGTGCCACGTTGCTTTCTGCCTTCAGATCTGTTGCTGGTTAGCATTTCTGTAGCTCTTTGAGAAGCCACTTTTGGAGAGTGGCTCCATTTCTCCCCGGTGGGCAAGGACTTGGTCCTGGCTGGCGGCGAGCACGAACCTTTGCTAACTGCAAAAAGAGGAACCGCAGCAAAAGGGTAAAGCAGATGGATTACAACAACGAGATCTGGAAGGAGCTCTAGAATAGCGAGCTCGTTTTTTGGCCAGCCGTTCAACCAAGGCCAGCTGCAGAGCTTTAAGGTAGATGCATTAGGGCTCCATGCTCCCGAATGGAGAATCAACCCTGGAAATCGACCTTGGGCAGGACCTTAAAGGGCGATGTATTCAGCATCTACTCGGTGTCGCTGATAATAATATTATTTAGGAAAAAGAGTATGTTGATCCCCATCCAATTTGCTTTCTTTTACCTGACACTACCGCGGCTTTCTTTACCTGTTGGGGTCTGATTCCTTTTGTCTTTCATTTATTCACCAATGGTTGTCGAGTTGGGAAGTTTCTACTCTTGGGACTTGGCAATGAATGAGGGACAGACAGTAGACAAGCAAGCAAACAAATAAGAAAGACTCGATCTCACCGTTCTATTAAACTTAATTTGTTAATTGAAGGTGAGAAATACTTTCCCTAGCTGGGGAAAATGTGACACTCAAATAAGATTATGCATATGAGTACTTTATCATTTAAAAGTATGATGGCTTAGGTATCATGTTTCTTGGCCAAGTTCACACAGTCTGCAACAAATAGTTTAGCACTTAATTACCTAATTATCTTAAAAACATTTTTTTTTCTCTTATGAGTTAGTCTGGAGAGGCATCACATACAGATCCAACTCATTTTATCTCTTAATTGGACAATTACAAAAGCTCCTTATTTTGCCCCTGGGTCTCTAGTCTATATCAGATGGTAGATCCCCCCAGAATAACTGTGGAGATGTTACATGTGGAGACTGCCAGACCTTAAGCTCAAAGATTTTGACTGAATAGGAATAGTTAAAGGGAGGGCCCAGAAATGCTCATTTAGCATGTGTTAGCCTGTAAATTCACACTCAGCTAGGCCAAGAAAAATGAAACTGATCTTTTCCCCCAACCCATTCTCTCCATAGACCCCAGAGTTATCTTTCTAAAACATTAACTCTGATCAGTTACTTCTCTAGCTTAACAACTTTTGTGAGTTCTTGGCATTGAAGGGATTAAAGTGAAATTCTAGACAGTGGCTTGCAAGGCAGTCCAGTCTCCCTTGTTTTCATTACACCAAATGCACCATCTTCCCCGCACACTCTTCCTCAGCCATGAGGTGTCTGAACCGTTCCTTCAACACAGCACATTCTTTCTTGACTGCGATTCTGTACACAGCATTGCTTATATTTGGAAGGCCCCCTTTCTTTCTGAGCTTCACAAACATTCTGTGATTTTTTTTCTTTTTTTTTTTTTAAGATTTATTTATTTGTGCATACAGAACTGGGGTACAGGCCAGAGGCTCAGGGGTGGCGAAAGTCTTCACCAGAGACAGAGTGGGGAGCAGAACAGGCAGATCAACGAAGTACACTGCTGAGGGGAGCAGCGGGCGGGTCAGGAGAGGTCTGCCACACCATGTGGTCACCTCCTGGGCAGGTGGGAATCGAACTCATGTGGAAGTGGCTTTAGCTTCTTAGTGCGGTGCTTTAACCTGCTGCGCCACCAGGGAGGGCCCATTCTGTGAGATTTAGCTAAAAATTCACCTCTCCTGGGACTGATCATTTTCTCATTTTTTCTTCTGCATCTTTATCATCACTCTCACCTGCAGTGTAGTGTATTGTATAACTATGCGAATAAGGAGGTGATTTCCTGGGTTGGAGCCATCCAGGAGCCCTCCTTGTAAGAAATGTTCAGAGCATGCCACTTCACTGGTTCCAGCAACTGGTTCAATAAATATTCTTGGAATGGATATGTGTCAGCTCATGTGTATAAATTACCATATAAACAATTTAAGCCATCTTCTAGGTACATGGTAGAGATTAAAAAACACAGATAATTGCTACTTATCTAATCGTTCTTTCTATTCATTAACTCAGGGGAAAGGTGTTGATAGGTGTGCTTAATTGCATTAAGGAAGGAGTTCCTGCTAGGTGCCTCCAGGGCACAACTGTAAAAAAGGGCAAGCCTTGGAAGGGAAAATCAACAGGAAGTGAGTAGCATCTCCCTCTCCCCTCCTACATTTAAGAGTGTGCCCAGGTAGGAAGACACTTAGAAGATAGGGCTGAGGAAGTTCTTGTGGAGATAGACCAGGTCTGTCAGAACAGGGACCATCTCTGTCACCACCTCAGGGACCTTATATGAGCACAGAAAGACTGATTTTACAACTTAGGTGTAAGCTTGGTATTTTAAGCCTTCAGCCAGCTTTCCTGAGCATTCAAGGACTCTACTTCCAAAAATGCAACATGGCCCTTCCCGGCCTCTTACTCTCCTCCCTCTATGCCCATCTGGCAGTCTCTTAAATGATGACTTAAATTGAGAGAAGTAGGTTGAAGGGTTTTGGTCTTGGGCATCCTTGAAAAGGATTTTGAAGCATTTTCTTAAACTGAAGTGTCCTACCAAAAATAAGGTCAATCTTCACATCATGTCAATATAGTTTAAATAACTCCTCCTCCCTGTTCCCACATGATGGTCCATAGCCCTGCGTGAAGGTCAGTAGCCCTGCATGGGAGATAAGCCAGGTTAATTTATTGAGGAAGGAACTGAAGCAGCAAAGTAGGCGATGGATCTTACATTTGAAGCCACTTGAGAAATCTGAAGTAGAATTATGTTGTTTTTTTGTTTTTTAGAATTATATTTTTAAGTCCCTCATAGAAAGAGGGAAAGTCTGGTGGGAATGCAAGCTGTTACAAACACTATGGAAAGCTGCTTGGAGGTTTCTCAAAAGGCCAAAAATAAAGCTTCCATATGACCCAGCAGTCCCACTCCTGGGTATCTACCCAAAAGACACAAAAACATTGATTCAAAAGGACACCTGCACCCCCTTGTTTATTTCTGCTCTATTTACAATAGGGATGATGTGGAATCAACATAAATACCCCCAAAATAGATGACTGTATTAAGAAGATGTGGTACATATACACAATGGAATATTACTAACAATCAAAAAAAGATAAACTTATGCCTTTTGCAGCAACATGGATGGAGCTGGAAGGGACCATGCTTAGTGAAATAAGCCAGAAAGAAAACGAAAAATACCAGATGATTTCACTCATAGCAGGAATGTAAGGGGTGTGTGTGTGTGTGTGTGTGTGTGAGAAACAAATGTTATAAAATAAAAATGAAAACAGTGAAAAACTATAAACCAGACAGAGACATTTTTGTGGGGATGGAAAAGGGAATAAGATTGGACCTGTGGTGGGAAGTGTGCACTGGGCTGTGGTGATGGCCCACAGGTGAACTGGTGGTGGGAAGCCCAAGGGGATTACAACTGAGATGAAAAAAATGCACAAAATGAAGAATGATGTAAAAAAGAAATAGGAACATTGAAATGAAGAAGAGATGTCCATCAGTTTCATCTGGTTGGACTTCTCTCTGTTTCTTTTCCAGTCATTTGCAAAGCATTACAATCCAAAAGAAATAATACAGTTTAAAACAATAAAGAATTGTTTAGCTGTTGCCCCTTTAAATAGGTGATTGAGCATAAAAAGAAGGAGAAGAGAAGGAGGAGGAGAAGGAGAAAGAGAAGAAGGGAAAGGAAATAAGCCTCCAGAAAAAATGCCCAAGGAGTGAGGGGCTCTCTTGGTCCACTGTCCCACTCCAATGTTCATCTTTGCCCACCAGCAGCCCCTCACTTCAGGACTGTGCAAGCACTTGAGAAACACTCTGGGAGAGAAGCAGCTAATTCTGTGGAGGAGCATAGTACCAGAAAACTTACTCATCTCGTTTCACCTTTAGAAAGATGCTCTCTTCTATGGACTCTGAGGCCAGCCTTAAAATATAAAAGCAAATGCTCCCCGTGTTGACAATAAAGAAACAATAACTAGCACCAAGTAAGCATGTCCTGTTTCAAAATTAGACAAATGGTCACAACATTTTCATTTCTGATGAGAAGAGTTTTTACAAGAGGAACATGCCACTCTTTGAAAGGGTGGGGAGCTCCTTGTGTATGTGGGGAAATGAGGTGCTTCCCTCATTTTATTCTGAAAAGATTTGACCTTCTCCTGTCCAGATGCCCTGGAGTGTCAGTAGCAGGAGTACGTTAGGAGATTGATGCACCTCAAGATTCGTAGACTCCCAGTCAGACCCCAGTCCTGTTCTTCCTCTCATCTCTCTCTCCCTCCACACCTTCTGCCCTCACAGCCTGTCCCTCTATCACTTGCTCTGGGGAAAGTCAGTAGTCAGGTCACAAAAACTCTCACCCATGGAGAAATCTTGTCACATGCTTTGATCAAGCCAAAGAAGAGAAGTCAAAAGGAACAGGAGGTCTCTGCTAACAGCCACAGGAAGGAGCTTAGAAGTGGTATTTCAACCGCAGACAAACCCCACAGAATGGAGGCCCTGACACCACCCTGGTGGCTACCTCTTGAGAGTCTTGGAGGCAAAACTACACAGTGAAGCTGCTCTTGAGTTTCTGGCCCCCAAAACTATGGGCCAAGCACGGCTTGTTGTTTAAAGCCACTGCTGTTGGTGGTAAGTTGTTTCTTAGT